TGCACCTGAAATAAACATGCACATAAAGCCATCAGAGAATTTTATCATGAAAATGTATCCAATACCCTTCACACAGGAAGAGGTGGCTGGAAGTGTTCATTCTTTTTCACGGGATGTTTTTGAAGAAGGATCTTTTCTGGAAAGATTTCTTAAAGTTTACCAGAGACTGAGAAGCATCTCTGCCATGACTGTCTCTACCTGCACACACTTACTGCACCACAAAGAGCTGCTCAGGTACCTCGAGGAGAGCAAGTTTGACGCTGTCCTTACAGATCCTGTGATACCCTGTGGGCAGATACTGGCCGAGCATCTTTCACTCCCTTCCGTGTTCTTTTTTCACCAAATGCCATGTGGTTTGGATTTTGAAGGCACTCAGTGTCCCAATCCCCCTTCTTACGTCCCCAGGGTATTCACAGGCCATACAGACCACATGAACTTCCTCCAGCGGGTGAAGAACCTAATCCTTGACATCCCAAATTATTTCCTCTGTCATTTTGTCTTCCAACCCTACGCACAACTGGCTTCTGAGTTCCTCCAGCGGGACGTGACTGTGCCAGGTCTCTTGAGTCAGGCTTCCATTTGGCTCATGAGGTTAGATTTTGTGTTAGATTATCCAAGACCTTTGATGCCCAACATCATTGTAATCGGAGGAGTAAACTGTGCTCACAAGAAGCTTCCTCAGGTGGGTGATGCTCTGGTTTTCATTCTTGCTCTGGTTTTCATTCTTGCTCTGCTAAGCCCTCTGTGTTTATAAGGGTGGAATCTTGTGTTGCAGACAGTGTCACCGAAATCGGGAATGAACTTCTTCACTTCAAAATTCTTCATTGCAGTGCTGGATGCTCAGGGGATCGCTCCAACTATCGTGCATGCTGACTCATGTCTCTGCAAAAGCTTTACACTATCAAAACATGCATAGTCATTACTTCTCCAAGAAATTATTAACATATTCATTACATTTCCAGGAACTCATTAATATATGTAAAAGTAAACTGTGCTCACAAGAAGCTTCCTCAGGTGGGTGATGCTCTGGTTTTCATTCTTGCTCTGGTTTTAATTCTTGCTCTGCTAAGCCCTCTGTGTTTATAAGGGTGGAATCTTGTGTTGCAGACAGTGTCACCGAAATCGGGAATGAACTTCTTCACTTCAAAATTCTTCATTGCAGTGCTGGATGCTCAGGGGATCGCTCCAACTATCGTGCATGCTGACTCATGTCTCTGCAAAAGCTTTACACTATCAAAACATGCATAGTCATTACTTCTCCAAGAAATTATTAACATATTCATTACATTTCCAGGAACTCATTAATATATGTAAATGTCCTTTTCACATGTGCACTGGAGTCTCTTGGTGGTCTTCAGGGGTTGTCTGGTGGTCGTTGAAACTTTTCTCACTGTACCCTTTAGATGAACTTTTCTCCTGCACACGCTTACTCCATCTCTTGGCCTGTTTACACCACTTCTGTCTCCACAGAACTGGTTTATTCCAACATCACTACCTTATCCACCCTATTGCAAAGATTTGGCGCCTCAAAATTCCCCGTTATCTATTTTAGACTACAAACTTGACTCGGCCTAGCTGATCTGTAACTAACTTTCAATGTCACATTGTTTAAGCACAAGGATATGTTCTTTCGGAATGGTATCAACAGGAATCAAGTTTATGTTCAGGATGAGTTAGGCAACTAATTATGAAAATACTTAATTTTCTCATAATATCATTTTTCTTCATCACTTTCCATTTTCTGTGTAGGCAGCTGTATGTTTTCATTTATAAAGAATGCTCAGTTCAAGAGAAACACTAGGTTCTTGTAGTGAAGGTCTGTGATGGGACATCATATCCACCAGCCAAAGGGATTGTCAGAATTTGTGGACAGTAGGACAAAATTCTGGATTTGTCTTACGAGCAGCTCCCATGGGATGTCCCAAAAAACCTTAAAAACTCTTTCCAGGCTCAAAAACCAAGTCCAAATGAATGGAGCCATGGAGCAGGTCTACTTTGACATGTCCAGCACAGCATGACTAGCATGCACTGAGGGGATGGATGCAGCGTGTGTTAACCTTTGAGATGTGCTTTGGGTGCCTCAGAGGTAGAAGATAGCAACGCATACAGTTCTCCATGGAGAGCCTCTGCAGCTGCTCTGTGGGACAGCCTGGAGAGTTGTGCTATTCTTTGTGGAGCCCTGGCTTTCTCTTCAATCATATTATTTAGAACTTCTGCACCACGGGGTGAGGTCACCAAACCTGTGTGGGAATTCCACCCATCTCCAAGTGGCGGAGGTGACTGTGGCATCTTACAGACATGGTTATGCACTCGCCACCTGAGAACTCATGCAATTTCACTGCTGCTTGACACCGAGCAAGATTTGCCAATGACAAAATCCAAGACAGAATTAAGCCCTGCGTTGTTTTATGGAAAGTCCCCATCAAAGACTGTTCATACATCTTTGCTTTGTCCTCCAAGCTCACAAGCCAGCCCCTCCAACCCCTGAGCCAGGTCTCAGACACTGGAAGTACTGTTTAGTGTGGGTGATGTGTCCTGCAGACAAACCTAGGACATCTTCATCAGTCTTCTCAGTCTAGAAACCATGTTAAACAGCTCTTCCACATCTGCTATGCGGCCATAAGCCTCCTAGAGATGAGTCTTCAAAAAGAGAGAGAGAGGGGGAACAGGTCTTGCCCAAGGGGAAGGGAGCAGCCTCTGCCAGGCTGAGTGGTGATGTGGATGTGACCCATCTCCTGCACTGACAAAAGGCTCTTCCAGAAGGAAGCTATAACAAGTGCAGCCCAACCCACAACCATCTCTGCCTCCTTCCTGGGATGCTCTTTACTCTTCCTCTGCTAGAAACAGATGGGGGTTATTAGCTGTGGCCACCACACACCACCAGCCTGCTGCTCTGATCAGCCTGCCAAACCAGCTGAACTTTAACACCTCTCATTCCATATTTGCCATGCCCATGATTATACATTTACCACACGGCAACTGAGTCTAAAGATCAGCCCAAGAAAGCAGAGCTCAGATCGCTTCAAACCGTGAAGCTGGGAGTGAACCCACCAGATCTCTGCAGAAATGGCCCCAGTGCTCAGTGCTCATCCGCAGGTCACGGCCAGGCTGGTGCTGCTCCTGTCCCTGCTCAGGGTGGCTGCTGCTGGGAAGCTGCTGGTGGTGCCGGTGGATGGGAGTCACTGGCTCAGCATGCGGGAAGTGTTGGACCGTCTCTCGGAGAAGGGACACGAAATAGTCGTTGTTGCACCTGAAACCAATTTCTACATAAAGTCAACAAAGAATTTTGTGATTAAATTGTTCCCAGTCACTTTGACAAAGGAAGAGGTGGATAAACACTTCCAGACATTTGTAGAAGATGTACTTGGTGAAGGATCTTTTCTGGAAAGGACTCTTAAAATATATCAAAGTACGAAAAGACTCGCTGATTTTTCCGTCTCTGGCTGCGCACACTTACTGCACAACAAAGAGGTTGTCAGGGATCTCGAGAAGATCAAGTTTGACGCTGTCCTTACAGATCCTGTGATACCCTGTGGGCAGATACTGGCCGAGCATCTTTCACTCCCTTCTGTGTTCTTTTTGTGAGAAACACCGTGTGGTTTGGATTTTGAAGGCACTCAGTGTCCCAATCCCCCTTCTTATGTCCCCAGGGCATTTACAGACCTGACAGACCACATGAACTTCCTCCAGCGGGTGAAGAACCAAATCTTTGACATCCTAAACTATTTTCTCTGTCATTTTGTCTATCAACCCTACGCACAACTGGCTTCTGAGTTCCTCCAGCGGGATGTGACTGTGCCAGATCTCTTACGCCACGGCTCTGTTTGGCTCATGAGGTTAGATTTTGTGTTAGATTATCCAAGACCTTTGATGCCCAACGTAATTTTCATTGGAGGAGTAAACTGCGCTCACAAGAAGCTTCCTCAGGTGGGTGATGCTCTGGTTTTCATTCTTGCTCTGGTAAGACTTGTGTGTTCACAAGGGTGGATTCTGTGGTGCAGATAGTTCTCATTTAAGGCAAATACTCATGAAATAAATTACTTTTCTCTCCCTTTCTTCCTCATTTTCCATGTTCTGTGCAGGCAGCTTCACCTTTTTACTTACAGAGTGTGCTCAGCTGGTGCCTTTTTAACTATTCTTCTTCGAATCCATTTGGTGTAGTGTTGAGTCTCTTGGTACTCTCTCCCTTAGTGAGAGATGGATGAGCAGCAGGCAAGTCCGAGGGGCTCTCAAAACCTTGCAGTTAGCTACAATCCACACAGTTTTGCAAATTGTTGTAGTAGGGCCTGGTATTTACTGAGAAATGCAGGTGAGGCTTCTGTCCTGGGGCATCCTTGCTCCTGTACTGCTTCGTTCTTTGTCAGTGAATTCATCTTACAGGTTGTAGACTCCCAGTCTAAGAAGCACCGTCTGTATTCACAGGCAGGTCTCAGAAGATTTCATAGAATCACAGAATTGTTTGCCTGGAAAAGCCCTTTGAGATCATTGAGTGCAACCGTAACTGTCCACTGCTAAACCAGATCTCTGAGCACCTCATCTACTCATCTTTTAAATCCTTCCAGGGATGGGGACTCCACCACCTCGTAGACTCCCAGTCTAAGAAGCACCGTCTGTATTCACAGGCAGGTCTCAGAAGATTTCATAGAATCACAGAATTGTTTGCCTGGAAAAGCCCTTTGAGATCATTGAGTGCAACCGTAACTGTCCACTGCTAAACCAGATCTCTGAGCACCTCATCTACTCATCTTTTAAATCCTTCCAGGGATGGGGACTCCACCACCTCCCAGGCAGCCTGATCCAGCACCTGAGAACCCTTTTAGTGAAGAAATTCTTCCTCAGATCCAACCTGAACCTCCCCTGGTGCAACTTGAGGCCATTTTCTCTTGTTCTGTCACTTGTTCCTCCTGGTTCTTCCCCGCCGGCTGGTTTTTCGGCACGTGGGGATGTCCTGCTCTTGCACCTCCAGGATTTCCTCCTTGAAAAGCGTCCAGCCTTCCTGGGCTCCTTTGCCCTTTACAACTGCCTCCCAAGGGACTTTACTGACCACTCTTCTCAACAGTCCAGAGTCACCCTCCAGAAGCCCCAGGTGGCAGTTCTGCTGACCCTGCTCCTCGCTTCTCCAAGAATCGAGAATTGTCTCATTTCATGATCACTGTGTCCCAGGCGTCCTCCAACCGTCACATCTCCCACAAGGCCTTCTCTGCTCACAAACAACAGGGCCAGCAGGACACCTTCCCTGGTTGGTTCACTCACCAGTTGTGTCAGGAAGTTGTCTTCCACACATGCAGGAACCTGTAGTTATGTGAGTCTTGCCACCACGTTTCCATGATGGCAATTGCATCATCGTTTTCTTGTTGCACAATGGCTTCTAATTCCTCCTATTTGTTGCCCACGCTGCCTGCAGTGGTGTAGATGCTCTTCAGTTGGGCTACTGATCCCCCCGCTCTTCTGAGTAGAATAGTCTTAGTTCCTAAGTAACTACTCACTGTGGTTTCCAACCCATCAATAACCTTTGTGTCTTTGCTGCCACTTGGAGTACGTCCCCCAGTTCCTCTGAGGCGGCAGAGCCAAGAGCCTCGCTGGCACACACTGTCCCTCAGACATTGCAGTAACATCCCCAGGCCTGTTTCTAGCACGCCCTGCCCCTGGCTCCGGGAACCTGCCCTTTCCTCTTCAGCACAGGCTCAGCCGCGGAACTGACTGTTGCCACCACTCTGCTCCTCACTTGGTTGAACAGACCCACCCCCCCCTCCCTCCACCCTCCTACAAGGGACTTGCACAGAGCCACAAGGTCTCCCCTCAGCCTCCTTTTCTCCAGGCTCAACAATCCCAGCTGCCAGTTTCACCGTGTTTCAGTTTCCCCTTGGTGATGGCTGGGTGACATCGCAGAACAAAACCAGCCTCACTGAGTCTCAAGGGGCTCTGGTGGGTGGGCAGATCCTGCTCAAAGGCAGTAGAGCTGCCAGGCAGACACAGATAGGGCTTATCTAGTGCATCCACCACAATTACAACTCGTCCATGCAGACTGCTGAACTCTAGTGCTTCTTATCCAGCTTTGGTCCAGAGTCACCCTCCAGAAGCCCCAGGTGGCAGTTCTGCTGACCCTGCTCCTCGCTTCTCCAAGAATCGAGAATTGTCTCATTTCATGATCACTGTGTCCCAGGCGTCCTCCAACCGTCACATCTCCCACAAGGCCTTCTCTGCTCACAAACAACAGGGCCAGCAGGACACCTTCCCTGGTTGGTTCACTCACCAGTTGTGTCAGGAAGTTGTCTTCCACACATGCAGGAACCTGCAGTCATGTGAGTCGTCCCACCACGTTTCCACGATGGCAATTGCATCATTGTTTTCTTGCTGCACAATGGCTTCTAATTCCTAATTCTAATTGCCAGCAGATGGGAGTCACTGGCTCAGCATGCGGGAAGCGTTGGATGGTCTCAAGCAGAAGGGACACGAAATAGTCATTGTTGCACCTGAAATAAACATGCACATAAAGCCAACGAAGAATTTTGTGATGAAAACGTACCCAGTCCCTTTCACACAGGAAGAGCTGGATCACGTTTTCTGGAGAACTACCCAGGAACTATTTGATGAAGGATCTTTTCTGGAAAGAATTGTTAAAAGATATGAAGGAATGAAAAATGCTTCTACCATGTTCCTGTCAACCTGCACACACTTATTGTACAACAAAGAGCTGCTCAAGTATCTCGAGGAGAGCAAGTTTGACGCTGTCTTCACAGATCCACTACTACCCTGTGGGCAGATACTGGCCGAGCATCTTTCACTCCCTTCCGTGTTTTTTTTGCAGCAAATGCCATGTGGTTTGGATGCTGAAGCCACTCAGTGTCCCAATCCCCCTTCTTACGTCCCCAGGTTATTCACGGAGTTGACAGACCACATGAACTTCCTCCAGCGGGTGAAGAACCTAATCTTTGAATTCCCCAATTTTTTTCTCTGTGATTTTGTCTTTCAACCCTACGCACAACTGGCTTCTGAGTTCCTCCAGCGGGACGTGACTGTGACAGGTCTCTTGAGCCAGGCTGCCATTTGGCTCGTGAAGCTCGACTTTGTTTTACACTATCCGAGACCATTGATGCCCAACATGATTATGGTTAGTGGAGTAAACTGTGCTCACAAGAAGCTTCCTC